CACATGATCAACCAAAAACAAACTTTCTTCAATAGTTAACACCATTATAGCTGAAATCAATTACTAAAACACTGGTATATAGCAATGACAATCTAAACTAACGGTTACATGGCGCTTGAAACATGATATAATTCACATATTATTTACGGTGCGCAGATAATTGATTTCAAAAAGTCTAGTCATTAAACATACATCCTATATTATTAATCACTTTGGATTATTATCGGTGGGAGTCGGTGGGAGTCGCCGTGGCGTAGGCGGCTAAAAGCCCGCCTGGGGATCTGAAGGTTGTGGGTTCGCGTCCTGATGGATGCGGACGTTTATTTCAAAAATTACCTTGACTCCTAGGTCGACCCAGCCTTGAGTGGGTACCAGGTGCATTCCTAGGAAGTAAAGGCAGCCGGTGTGGTGCTAACCACATCACCCACCAAGTTCCGATGGGTCTATACAATCAAGGTTTAGCCCTATATTCCCATTACGCCTTAAGGCGCGGAGAAGGAACCTTTACTTTACTTCATTTTCTCTAATACATGGTTTTGTACAACTGAAGGTATTTATTGCTCTTAATTAGGTCAAGATTGGCGTCTTTGGTTTTGGCGTAGCAAATGCTCTTCGTAATATTGAGGTACCGGGTTCGGTATCAGCTGTGGGCGATTGGACAGCAGACTGTCTTGCGTCGCTTTCATCAATGGTATCTAGAGCTGACCGTTAAGTAGCAATAGCAAAATATTGAGCGTAAAATTACCAAGTGAAATCACAGACAGAATGCTTTGGGCTGCTTCTGCCACATCTTGTAAAGCAGCCTGTATGGAGCTCGTTGTCTTATCTGTAAAACCATCAGCAGAGAAAATGACATGACAAAGAAGATAATATTTAAAAAAAAAAAACGGTAAAAATAAAAGACAATTGTGACGCGTTTCGTGCATGTGAAATATAATGCTAGAGTATATTTTATTGACCAATCGACACTCGATGGGGATATGGTTTACTTCTTCTTTTTCTTCTTTTTTTTCCCCTTTGCTTGAAATAGATTATCTAATTCTGCAATGTTTTCTCTAGTCTGAACTTCACTGTCATCTGTAATTCACTTAGCGGCCTGTAAAGTTCGAATTGGCAGTGTCTCTCTTGGCCAGAAGTTTTGCCTGGAAATTTTGTATTTGGGACAATTATGGAGGATGTGATCTGTTGGTGTCACCTTTACTTCCCAGGCATTTAATTGGTACCAATTTCAAGTTGCGTGACCCAGGACATCACGTCGGCCGTCTTTACTTCCCAGGACTGTAGCTGGTACCCATGTAAGGACGGGCTGACCGTTGGGCCATAGTCGTTTCTGAAAAAATGTCTGGCTCTGCCTATCCGGATTTGAACCCACGACCTTCGGATCTACAGACGAGCGCCTAGCCGCTATACCACGCCGGCTCCTACATAGCAGATAACTGATCATGAATTGATTAGTAGTTTTGAGAAACAGTGGTCTTTAACTATCTTTTACTACTTTAGCCTTCTTAGCAATTTTGCTGTTGTGTGTGTGTGTGTGTGCGTGTGTGTGTGTGTGTGTGTGTGTGTGTGTGTGTGTCCAGTTATAGTAAAAAATAACACAAAAAACATCAAATATCACTATAACTACTTTAACCATAATACTGTAACTTTTCCAACCACATTAAGTTATGTAAGTAAGTAAAAAGGAAAAGACCGTTTTCCACGCCTTTAGGCGTATAGGGCATATAGGGCTAGACCTACATTTTTATAGACCGATCGGCACAAGATGGGTGATGTGGTGACTGTACCTGGTACCCACTAAAGGCTGGGTCGACCTGAGAGCCAAGGTCATGTTTGAAAAAAGTCCGGCTCCGCCAGGGCGCGAACCCACGACGCGGCGAGGGTATAGCCGCTCGGCCACTGCGACGCCCACATTAAGTTATGACTGTATCTTATTTAACCATAACACTGACTTTAACTCCTCAAGCACTCTATCATTGTTAAGAGCTAGCGAGAAGAGAAAAAAAAAGGGGGGGGGGAGGGACACGAAAGGAGGCGATGAAAGAAATGTGGTTAGGACAATAAGTAATTCCTTGCTGGACTGCAAAATGCGGAAAAGTAAAGAAAAGGCAAGAGTTCTTTCAAGGAACCATGGAATGTTACTCACGGCTCAGGCGATGAATATGCGAATAGTGAATTACACAACCACAGATACAACATATAACTGCCCAGTGCACGAAATACAAGCCATATTCTGAACCTAACAAATGGAATATAATCATCACATTCAACATCTGTTTTTTTCTATCTGAACACAAATTTAGCACGATTCGCAGATAATAAGAAATTAATAATCAACAACGTATTTAAACAGACTATGTGCTAATCACTTAAGCTAACAAAGATAACAGCTCGCCTAAAGCGACCTATAATCAGAATCTCCGCGTTAGGATGTTCAATTGGAATCTAGACCTACAACACAATCTAACTACTGAAAGTTTCACCGGAACACGCAACCGGTGAGACAGTTTATCTCTATTGGCTCTGTCCACCGTACATACGTTGTGATGAGAACCCTATACAGTTCGGCAACTATAGGTGGAAACAGACATGCTCCGTGCAGAGTGGCAAGCATCGCTTCAGATGTCCTGGATAGTTAGCGTCCTTTTGATTTTTTCTCCAGGTCATGCTGATGTGTTGGAAAACAAGCAAGCATATAGATTGGCCTTTTCTGTACCACTTAGTGGTAAACTGATGTATTACAAGCGTGATGTTGTAAGCGTCAGTTGGGAGCGAGTGATTAGTGCGGAGGCACAAATAGATCATTACGGTCTTAGGAGAATTGTGCTGCGAGGAGTTACCAGGGGATTTGGCTGACGCTAAACACTCAAAGGAAAGGCGAGACGGATGTACAATCAGAACGTTACTAGCACCATCGGAATTGGAGCTCTTTGCTTGCTGCTGAAGAAAAGAGACGGAGAGCTTATGGAAGTGTCCCGAGTGCTGCGATGCCGATTCCTAATGAAACGTTCAACCATTGCATTATTTTGTTTCACAAGAATGTATATTCTTTGTGTTGTGCTATATTGTGAGCTTGAAGGATAGATCATATAGTGAGTGTACAAGATCCTCACCGGGAAGTACAAATTGTTCGACGGGCCGGTTTTTGCCTGCGGGCCATAGTTTGTCCACCCGTACCATAAACAAAACCCGCAAGAGACATTGTTTAAGGATTGGCTGTTAGGAACCTTATGTTTATTTCAAAACCGAAACATCTCCCCCCCCCCCCCCCCCCCCCCCAATCCACCTTTTTCCTCCTTCTTTTCCCTTCCCTAAAAAACAAAATGCGTTTAGAAACTGAATTTTTCTAGAAGGGAAAAGGGAGACGTTCGAGAACTGAGTCTGCACTGTATTAATGTTATTTCAAAACGTAAAATTTGCATAGAAAAACCACAAAAACCAAAAAATGCTGTGGTTGGTTCTGCAAAGTCTTGTAAAAGATACCCAGCTAGCTAACATTGTCCAGGACAGAATCAGTCACTCACTCGAAACCTGGCTCCATTGTTAACACTCAACGATTGTGGCCACTCAGTTGCCAGTGTATTGATTGCCTGTGTAGGATCTCTCTGCAGCATCCGGGGCCCTAATGTACGTGCCTATTAATTATGTACGGCCGTGTATGTCTGCTTGTATGTTTATGCGACTGTGTAATTATTGCTTTCTGGCACTTGACTCCAGGTATACGACTTAAATCATATTGCCATGTGTTGTGTGCAATATATGGGTATATGAAAGGGAAGTTCATTATTGAACGTAAACACTTGGTGCAGTGCAGGACACATTGAACGCAATGTGAAGAGAGAGAAAAACGGTTGGCTCCAAGTCCCCGGAGAGGAAGGATGCGGTGATGTAGGTTCTAGTCTGGGTGTTGCCAGACTAGTCCTGCACACCCGCATGTTACGCTGGCGTTAGGCATACAGGCTATCGGCGAGAGATGCCGCAGAGGCCGGGCCAGCGTGACAGAAGCTCGTGTGGTGAGATGGGAGATCTCAAGTACGTGTCAGGCCGCGGCCTGTATGATCTTTCTAGTGACAGTGTACCCAAGGGATGGGTGTCATAGAGACAGACACGTACTCACGAGCAGTGGGTTTGCACGAGCAGGTAATGTTTGCTGGTTGTTAACCACGGAACAGGGTGGCAGTAGAAGTAGCCCAGAGCGTACGGAGTGTGTGTTGCCTTGCCAGTAGGAATGATTGTGGCAGTATAGAAATTCATGTGGATTCATTGTTTTGGTTTTGAAATACATTAATTATATTTTGACGTTCAACATGTATCCAGCGTCCTTTATTGCTGTTGGGTGGGAGTGGTGACTTTGATCTGTAACACTATTAAGCATACCTGGATACTTGGCAAGTGTGCGGTGTAGCAAGCGAGCATTTCGCCCGCGTCAATGGGTGCCAAGCCTTTAAAGAATGAGGGACCTCTGGTCACAAGTGTGATACGACATTTTGTCATATTGGTTTTGCTCAAGTTTTACACGAAGCACATTCCAGTTGTGGATCAATAATGAACTTCCCTTTCATATACCCATATATTGCACACAACACCATGGCAGTCAAATGAAGTACAATTAGGGACACCGACAATTTAGAGATTTTTCTAAATGAAAGGGCGTTTTAAGTTAAAAAAAAACAATACGCGGTTCATTTCTCTAATTTATTCGGGTGGGTTCCAGGGACCCTTTGACTAACTGGGAGTTTTCTTCGAAGTCGGAGTGCATCTGCCTAAAAGACAAGGAACCAACAGTATGCTTACAAATAAGCCAGATCTTTAAACCGGACATGCATGCAACACTCAGTTTCTGGAACAAGTCTAAAGTCCAGAGGTGGATGAACGACCAACATTTGTCATTGGAGTTTACAGCCGCTTAACGCGAAAAATAATAAAGACATGTGGTCGAGCTTGGTAATCTTTCCCCCAACAAGTTAAATGTTAACAAGAACAATTCTAATTTCTTACAGGAAGACAAAGGCGCCCATTGGAGCCCGGCATGCCTGGCTACAGTGTGACGTTTGTAGAGAAGCTGCGACGATGTTGCTACTGCCCTCTGTGTCGCCTGCCCATGCGTGACCCCGTGCTGGTCAGGCCGTGTGGTCATCGCTTTTGTGACGTTTGTCTGCAGGAGTTTTTGAGGTATGTACCAACTGTCAGTTGCTGTTCAAAACGCTTCGTACCACCGGGATGTCTGTTTAGATCCTAGCTGCGGGCGATTCGGCAGCAGTGTATCTTGTGTTGGTTTCTATTGTGGTATTGAGAGCTGACCATACAGTAAGCAATAGTAGAATATGGGTATTTGCGAATTCTTTTACATGACGTTGCAGAACCCCCAACAGCCCCTGGCTGTTGTGTGGTTTTTATAGGCAAATTTACGTCCAGTAGTTTGCCATTTCCCTCTGGAAGGTCGGCTTTCTCGATAATAGCAGAATACTGAAGGTAACATTTCATAGTGAAGTCTGTTGAATTAGGAATCGATATCATAGCAATCGGGACACTCCCCCATCTTCAGCAGCAAGCGAAGAGTTCCAGTTCCAATGGTACCAGTAACTTACTGATTGTACATCCGTCTCGCTTTTCCCTTGAGCGTTGAGCGTCGACTAGATCCCCTGGTAACTCCCCGAAGCGTCATTCTCCTCAGACCGTAATGAAGACCGAGTGAAATCTGAAACCACCAAAGAAATGCTGGAGTTGTTTCTGCAACGTGCATAAAATGAGCATTAGGAAAATGTCATGGAAAGTGGAAGCGGCCGGTATGATGTTGACCAAACCATCACCGAATGCTGATTGGTCTAAATTAAATGGGTGTAGCACCATATGTCAGACGCTAAGGTCGTCATCATGCTAGGAAGTTAGTGCAGATATCAGATACCTCAGCCGTAGATACCGTGATCAGTGCACTAATAGATCAGGATTGCTGTTCGTCTATCACGAGTGATGAAAACCACTTTTCATCCAAAGTAGCAATGATCAGTGATTATGAGTACGATGGTGGCTGATTAGTCCAATATTAGCCTGGGAAGTTCTTAAGCAGTGCGGACAACTGGTGGAAGCCGCAGTAAGTGTGGGATTAGCGAAACGGTTCTTTCTAGTCTGCTTCCGTTTCTCTGCCTGTGCAACCTCTGCTGCCTGACAGGCTTATACCACATGTCTGAGGGATGTATGTTATCCAGAACGGTCTTGTACAGCAGCCTTCAACGTCGTCTCTGTGTTGATGCCAACAGAATTGAGAGCAGTTTAAAGAGTGACATTATAGCCCTTTTTTTTCTGACCTTCCTTTAACCTCTTCACTTGCCATAAAATAAACTCTTTGGGAGGCGATAGTTGGCATGTGATAACTGGATGACAGTGACTTGTGCAAGGACTTGGATTTAAGTGAGAAAGAGTTGCGCAACAGATCAGGATTATCACCCAGCAGACATCATTAGTACAGATGGGTTTGTGAAGCGCGAGTCAAAGTCATCATGGGCACACATAGAACAAAGGATGCGGACAACAGAAAACAGAATAGTAGCGCTTACCAGACAACTATGTCAAGCATGACCAGAAGGAAAACCGTTGCTGCCAGAGCATTGGAATCAGCAGCAGAACAAGCAGTCACACATGCAGTGATGGCATCGGGTTCCAAGTACATGCTTCAGAAAATTGCCACAGGTAGTACACGCTCTGAATGGGTAGGAAGCATTTGGAAAATCGCACCTAACCTTCCTCACCTGGATCTATACAGCTGCCGGTGTTAGAAGAGTGCCTTTGGGTGGCTGCTGTTTCGGAGGACTGAGCACACACGGGAATGCCCAATGTGGAGTGGCGTCGAATGTAATAACATAAAAAGCCCAATAAAGTTAGGGTTAAAGTGGCCACTGCTGTTTTTATGAATGTTATGTGGCGAGAAGCCGTAATCTTTTCTTCGGTGCGACTGTCGTACCACGGTCCAATACCTGTAGAGACCAGGGGGGGGGGGGGGGGGGGGGGGGGGTGTGTTTAAAAATGAACCGTCGTCCGCGAAATTCTAAGCCTATACTTGAAGATGATATCACTCTGAACGTGTTAGTTTTTTATGCACAACTGTCAGCTTCGGCGGACTTTGGCTTTGTGCCAGGGCCTGAGTTTTGCATGTACTTCCGTTTTACTTGCTTATTTGTGTGCAGCTGATCGTTTATTGCTACTCAGGCAGATGCACTCAGATTTCGAAGAAAGTCCTCAGTTAATCGACTTCTATGACATGCTTGTTGGGGAGGCAGTGGGTTTATTCTTGTTCCCACCCCCCCCCCCCCCCCACACACAGACACAAAAGGGCCCCAGAATTCGCATGGGGAGAAACGCGATCAATACCCGGTCAGCTACAGGGTCACACTGTTGCGTATCCTTTCCAGGACATTTCAGAACCAACCCTAACAGCCCTTGGCTGTTGTGTGGTTTCTCTAGGCAATTTACGTCCAGTAGTTTGCCATTGCTCACTGGACGGTC